GGCTGCTGCCGGGGATGGGGTTTGGGGAGGTCCTCCTTGCCCCGGGGCAATGCTGATGGAGTGGGGGTGGTGGGGAATTGGGGATCCAGCCTCTGAGACTGGCACCATGTGAAATGGCTGACGTCCCCAGGTGGTACACGGGCACCGGGCGCTGCCTTAGCCCGGCCATGCTGGTTTCGTTGCAGGGAGAGGAGCTGAAAGTAGTGCTGCCGGTGCCCAGCCATGATGCCCTTTGGTGGGATGGCTGCCCGTCTGCAGAGGGACCGCCTGAGAGCCGAGGGGGTTGGCCAACACAACAACGCCATCAAGTACCTCAACCAGGACTATGAGGCCCTCAAACAGGAGTGCATTGAGAGCGGCACCCTCTTTAGGGACCCCCAGTTCCCAGCTGGCCCCTCTGCCCTTGGATTCAAGGAGCTGGGGCCACACTCAAGCAAGACACGGGGGGTGGAGTGGAAGCGTCCATCGGTAAGCCCTGGGCTTGCTTCTCCTCCGGCTGGGCTGGCATCCGTGCCCTGCAAGGTCTGCACTGAGGTGGTTTGCCAAGCTGCAGCCTGGCCCTGGACTGCTCCTCTTGGTGCTCCAAGTCCCTCAAGTGCTTCATAGCCTCCTTTCCCAAGGGTCTAGAGCAGTGCCCCACAAGAGTCTGCTCAGAAAAGAATCATGTCCAGCAGGTCCTGCTTCCGTTGGGCAGCAGACCGTGGGCTTTAAAATGGGTGGGCTATGTCATTGCTTCTAGGTGTTGTAGCATGGGTGTGTCACCCTCAGTGACTAGGGCTTTTGAGGGTGTATATCCCCCAGTGCCATGAGTGCAAGGGGAATGCCATTAGTCTATCTAGCTGTGCCCTCCCATGGCTACAGCAGAAGATCTTGCCTCACCTTACCGTGATGGCCTTGGGGTTGCAGTCAAGCAGACTTCCCTGGCCGATGGAAGGTGGGGTACATATCTCAAGGACCATATACCCTTCCTCCCAAGTCAGAGCTGCAGTGGGTGCCAGCCCCCCAGAAGCCCAGGCCCTGCTGAGATCCAACACCAGCATCTGATTCTCTCCTCCGCCTGCAGGAATTAGTGGATGACCCTCAGTTCATCGTTGGTGGTGCAACCCGGACAGACATCTGCCAGGGGGCTCTGGGTGAGTGCTGGAGCTCTGTCCCCAGACCTTGGTCTGGAGAGCAGTGGCTGGGGAGGGCTGGTGTGGCTGGAGAAGAGGTGTTTGTGTAAGGTTGAGGGTGGACCAGTTTCACAGCACCTTGTCCCAGGCCTGTCCAGTGCATTTTCATGCCATCCTTTGCACAACCATCTCTGCGCCAAAGGCTTCCCCTCCCATTTAGTGTGGTGAAAACTGGAAGGCAGGGGACACCCTGTGCCTCCTGGTGGTTCTAGGTTAAGGTTCCACAAAACTGGGTTGATGTGTGCACAGCTTGACGATTCTAACATCAGGGGAGATGTCGGGTGGACCCATGCCTGACAAATGCCAACGGCAACACCAGGAGCTGCTCCAAAGAGCTCCCTGCTTTGATAAATGGTGAGGGATGGCAGCTGGATGACAGTAACGAACTGAGGTGAGGATGTGCTGGTCATGACAAAGTGCTTGCGAAGCAGCGCGGTGTGGCAGAAGGGAACTGAGAGAAGAGCTACAGAGTACAAGTGGTGATTTGTCATTTCTTCAGGGATGTCTCCTGAGACAAAGGCACTGAGACAAGGAGAGCAGTGTTAATGGGCTGGGTAGGCTGGCAGGGCTGGCAACTGGGGTTTCATGGTCATCGGAACCCCATCTGGGTACCACCAAGAGTGTCATCCTGATTTGGATCAAGTTGGGCACTCGACTGGGAGTATCGTGTACCTTAGAACACATAGCATGTTGTTTTTGAGGTTGACCACATTTAATGCATCCAGTAATTAGAACAAACTTGAGGTGGTAACTGGAGCACCTAACAGCCCAGAGCACTGCGGTGGTGTTCAACTGGTCATTAAAAAGTCTGAAATGCCATTTTGTCAAACCACAGCCTGGTACAAGTTATCCAGGCTCAAGGCTAAGGTGTGACAGGCTTCAAAGGCAAAAGAAAAAGGGGAACCAAGGCAAAGAATTTGAAGTGCAGTGCTGGCCTGGAGCAGCAGTTGTGGTTAAGAGCACTTGGAAGGAAAAGTGCGGTGGTGTTGCTCGCAGTTTGAGAAGCCAGGGCAGCAGCGTTAAACCTCTTGCTTGATAAAATGGTTTTTTTAAATGCAAAGTGTAATTCCACTGCAGAATTCACTGTGTGAGGTGTGGAGGGCGGTCATACGAATGAGTCCCAAGAGAGTCTAGATAAACGGCTGCAGGAGGGGTCTGTTTGGTGCTGACTATATGTGGTGGTCTGGACACAGGCTGCAGGTCAGGGAGGATCGTTCCCTGTTGCCTTGAGCTAATACTTCTCTCCAAGGCAGGCTGAATGAGCCTGGCTGCCTGAGCTCTGTTTGTCTGCTGGACCCTCTCTGGTTTCTCCATGTGCTTTTTGAGCTGGGGACCCCAAATGTTGGCAAGGAGAGCACGCTGCGGGCTCCTACGCATCCACCGCCCACCCCTCCAGCTAGGGAGGTGGTGGGTGCTCACACCACCTTTCTCTCCTTCCCCAGGTGACTGCTGGCTGCTGGCTGCCATCGGCTCCCTCACGCTCAATGAGGAGCTCCTGCACCGCGTGGTGCCCCACGGGCAGAGCTTCCAGGAAGATTATGCCGGCATCTTCCACTTCCAGGTGGGCTGGGAGTTCCTGCACCTCCACAGGAGGGAGGGCAGTGGGCTGAGGGCATCTGTCTGGGGTAGGGATGAGCAAGTCGTGCGATGCCTTGAGCTCACCCCACTCTCTCCTGGACCCCCCAGATCTGGCAGTTTGGTGAGTGGGTGGACGTGGTGGTGGATGACCAGCTGCCCACCAAGGACGGGGAGCTTCTGTTCGTGCACTCGGCAGAGTGCACTGAGTTCTGGAGTGCTCTGCTGGAGAAGGCCTATGCCAAGTGGGTACCCCCGCGGCGGGCACATGGGCAGGTGGGGGACAGGGCACCTCACTGTGCGGGGGGGAGAGGAGGGGGTCTCTTCTATCCCTGGCCCTGCTTGTGCTGGGTGCCTGGGGAGCGGGGAGCAGCACTGTGCTGTGTCCTTGTCACCTCACGCGCCCCTCTTGCCGGCCGGCGCTCAGGCTGAACGGCTGCTACGAGTCGCTCTCGGGGGGCAGCACCACCGAGGGCTTCGAGGACTTCACCGGCGGCGTGGCAGAGATGTACGACCTTAAGCGGCCGCCGCGCAACATGGGCCACATCATCCGCAAGGCGCTGGAGAGGGGGTCCCTGCTGGGCTGCTCCATCGACGTAAGTGGTGCACCCGCTCTGCCCCAGCGATAGCCAAAGTGAGGCCTCGCAGCCCGAGATCGTGTCAGCAGTCCCCTTGCTGGGCGTTACTTCTTTCCCCTCTTAGCAGAGCACCCTTTCCAGAGCCAGCGTGGCAGCCCCGGGGCACAGCGAGTGGGGCCACAGCCCAGTTGCTGGGAATGGGCTCCTTTGGATAGAGCGGGAATGTCCATCTCAAGCGTTGGCTGCTGAACAAGCGTCTGCCTATAGCTCTGGCCATGTCTTACATCAGCATCTGAGAATTATCTGGAGTGGGGTTTTCCATCCGTTCCCTCTCATGAAATCCTTTGCTTGCTTTCTGAAGTTTGGGTGGTTCCCTGATGGATCTTCAGGGTCTTCTGGCTGGGAAACTGTCTTTATATTGTCCTCAGCCAGCAGCCTTTGAGCAGAAGGTGCTGGTACCTGCTGCTTCTCTTGGCCAGAGCAGTGCAAAGCAAGGGGAGTTCTCCACATGGTGGAGGGAAGGGATAGGGGTAGGACTACATGAAATTCATCATGTTCACTTGAGCTTTGCGCATGCTCCTCAGATCACAAGTGCCTTTGATATGGAAGCGGTGACCTTCAAGAAGCTGGTGAAGGGCCACGCCTATTCTGTCACAGCCTTCAGAGATGTGAGTTGGCTACATGAAACTTTAATAGCAGTAAAATAGCCTGGCCAGTGGCATGGGCTCAACCTCCTGTGTCTGATGGCCGGCAGGGGAACTACCGGGGGCAGCAGGAACAGCTCATTCGCATCAGGAACCCCTGGGGTCAGGTGGAGTGGACCGGAGCCTGGAGCGATGGGTGAGTTGGACAGATGAGACCTCGGTCCCACTGCTGGCAGGCCAGCAGGGCCTGCACACGCAGCAACGGAGTACGCAGCACTGCCGAGGGAAGCTCGCAGCATGCAATGCCCTTCGCGTCGGTGAGGGGGGCAGTTTGAGGGCCAGCTCTGAAGTGCTCTCGATTCACCTTGAGTAGTCCTTGTCTAATTGTCTCTCTTCTGCTTCTGCAGCTCCTCTGAGTGGAACAACATTGACCCTGGCGACAGGGAAGAGCTGCAGCTGAAGATGGAGGATGGAGAGTTCTGGTGAGCGCCAGAGCAAAGTGCTGCTCTTCTTCAGCAGCCAGCCTGGGAAAGAGCAGAGGAGCTGGGGAGAGATCCCATGGTCCTGCTTCACCTGAAATGCGTGACCTGCCTTTATGAGCTGGGTTTCCAGCACCGGAAAGCCTAGAAGCATTTTCTCATCTGACCTAGTTAATAATTTTCCTCCCTTCAAGGAAATTCAGCCCAACTAAATGCAAAATAAACATCTAGAAAGGGTAAACATCCCTTCTTCCCCAAACCCAGCAGTGGCTTTAAATGAGCTATAACTGCTCAGGGTGAATAATCTCACTGTCACTTCATTAACCCAAAACGTTGGCTGGGTCTGGAGCTGCTTGTGCTCTCCTCCCCCCCGACCTGCAGTGCCCTGGCCTCAGCCTCTGCCTGCCTCCTGCAGGATGTCTTTCCGGGACTTCATGAGGGAGTTCTCCAGGCTGGAGATCTGCAACCTGACCCCCGATGCCCTCACCAAGGACGAGCTCAGCAGGTGGCACACGCAAGTGTTTGAGGGCACGTGGCGCCGGGGGAGCACTGCGGGGGGCTGCAGGAATCACCCAGGTACCTCTCCCCGCCACATTCCACTCTTGGCAGCGCGATTAAGCAGCGTGTCTCATCCGTGCGTCCTCTTCCTCCCAGCCACGTTCTGGATCAACCCCCAGTTTAAAATCAAGCTGCTGGAAGAGGATGATGACCCTGGGGACGATGAGGTGGCCTGCAGCTTCCTGGTGGCTCTGATGCAGAAACACCGTCGGCGAGAGAGGCGGGTCGGGGGTGACATGCACACCATTGGCTTCGCTGTCTACGAGGTAACTCCTGCCTGCTCCAATGCTGCTTCCTTGGGACCAGCTCAGCCCTGCCAGTCCTGCCTGGACCTGGCGCCCCAGTCTCAAGGAAACCTTTCCCACCTGCTTTGGCCAGTGTGTGGGTTAATGTCCCCTGTCCCATGCTCTGCACGCTGCAAGGGATGGGGGCAGGTACTGGGATTCTGATTTTTTTTTTTTCCCCCTTTTCTGTCCTCCCTGCAGGTTCCTGAGGAGGTACGTCCTGAGCCACCAGAGCCAGGAGGGGAGCGCAAGAGTGGACAGGAATGGGTTAATGCACATGCATGCATGCATGTGCACCCAGCGGCATGGGAGCTCCCACCACGCTGGCAGCGGCTAGGGTGCTAATGGGTGCTGGGCACCTTCATGCTGGAGGGATGGCTCCTGCTGGGATGGGCAGGGTAGGGATGTCCTGCCCAGTGAGGCCAGGTTTGGTCCTGCCGCTCCCTGTGGGTCCCTCCCGCCATTGCAGAGCTGTGGGCCCCAAGCACGTTCATTCCCCTAGGCGCAGGGCAGCCAGAGCGTACACTTGAAGAAGGACTTCTTCCTGCGAAACCAGTCACGGGCACGGTCTGAGACCTTCATCAACCTGCGGGAGGTGAGCAACCAGATCCGGCTGCCCCCCGGCGAGTACATCGTTGTGCCCTCCACCTTCGAGCCGCACAAGGAGGCCGACTTCATCCTGCGGGTCTTCACGGAGAAGCAGTCGGACACGGCGTGAGTCCCCCTGTCTGGCCAGGGGATGCCCTGTGCCTGTGAGCGGTGGGACATTTCCCCACCGCAGGCAGCCTGCTGGCTGGGGACCCCGCTCATCACTCTGCTTTCCTCCTTTCTGCCCCCAGGGAGCTGGACGAGGAGATCTCAGCTGATCTGGCAGATGAGGTAGGAGCTGCTGCTTTGGTTCGGTTGGTGCTGAGGCTCTGGGGCTTGGGAGGGGAAGCTGCAGGCAGGAGGTGGCTGTCTGAGTTTGAGACGTTGCTGTGGCTGGAGAGGGGCTGGCAGGGTCGAGGTGATGGGGATGTGGGAAGTAACAAAGAATAAAGAAGAGCTTCCCTTCCAGTTTGGGTTTTCTGAGCCTGGGAGGCAGGGCAGAGCCCGGGTTTGACCACTAACTTCTTTCTGCCTTGCGTCACCCCAGGAGGCAATAACTGAGGATGACATAGAGGACGGCTTCAAGAACATGTTCCAGCAGCTGGCAGGGGAGGTGGGTACAGCTGCGCCCAGCTCTGGGGGGCCCTGGCCTGGGGAGAGTATGGGACAGGACCCCTGGCCATGAGAGCTCCTGCCCACCCAATGCTTGCTCAGTCCAATCCTGCAGACAAGTCCATCTCTGCCATGGTTCAGCCCAGCTGCCTGCAGGGGTGGTGTGACAGGAGCAGATTTGGGGAAGGGGCATCCAGCTGTGGCCCAAGCTTTTCTGAGCATGCAGGAAATGCAACGGCACCCTGAAGTTTTGTGACTAAGGCAGAGATGTTTAGGCAGGAGTTGTAGAATGGCCACAGGTGGGGTGGAGGGCAGGCAAGGGGTGCTGCTAACTCTGCTCCTGCTGCAGGACATGGAAATCAGTGTCTTCGAGCTCCGGACTATTCTGAACAGAGTCATCGCTAGGCGTAAGCACTGCCCTTCCCACCCCTTGCTCCCCGTGGCACATGCCTGCTCAGCAGGTTGGGTTTTGATGCATGTGCTCAAGCTCCTCCTTCCTCCTCAGACAAAGATCTGAAGACGGATGGGTTCAGCCTGGACTCCTGCCGCAACATGGTCAACCTGATGGATGTATCCTCTTGGTGCTGCAGGCAGGGGCCAGCTTCCCTAGTGCTCAGCCTGCCGGTAGCAAGAATTCACGGGAGCTGGGGTTTGGCTCTCTGGCCATGCTGAGGCTGTTCAACCAGAGGAAGGAAGACAGGCAGGCAGGCAGGCAGGAGTCCTTGTGGCTTCAGGGACACCTGCCCTACGCCACTGGGCTTTAGCAGGAGGTTTTTTGGAAAGGGCCAGCGGTTCCCCTGGCTCCACCACCAGAAGCCCAGCCCAGACCCACTTGCACCTTCAGTCTTCCCCTCCAGGAGGAAGCACCCTGTGCTTCCCTTCCCCACAGGCTCCCCAGCCTGACATGCCATGATGCCACCCAGCCTTCAAGGCACTCCTGGAAGGGAACAAGGGCTGTTGGGCTGCCTTCCTCCCAAACCATCCTGTCCAGCAGTTGAGGATGAGAGGTGTAAAGTGTCAGGAGCCATGACCCGTGTTCCTGCTTGCACAAGGACATGCAGCTGAGGGGTCAGGCGAGGGTAGAGGAGCACCTCCGAGTCTTTCTCCAGCCTGGCCCTGCAGCATCCCCTTTTGCTGCACGCCAGCCCAGTTTTGCTTCAAGGACACCGCAGTGATGTGCTTGCTACAGCAGCAGCACAGCTGCTCCTGGGGAGTGGCATGGCAGCTAGTTTAAGCATTGCACTTTTCTCTGCTGGGTTGCAGGCTCTCATCTTGCTGATGCTGCAGGACAGAGAGGGGAAGTTGGGAGGAAAACTGGGCAGGCCAAGTGTGGCCAGGCTTTTCTCACCTCAGGTGGCTGGGATCTGATGGCTTTGCCTTTACGCTACCCCCTTTGCTGGCGGCTTTTTTCCTTGACCCTCTGCTCCCCAGAAAGATGGCAGTGCCCGCCTTGGGCTGGTGGAGTTCCAGATCCTGTGGAACAAGATCCGGAGCTGGCTGGTGAGGAGTGAGGGGCATGGCACACTGCACAGGGGTAGCAGACCTCTGTGTGCAGCAGGGTGAGGGGACAGCCTGCCCTGCATGTCCCCTGTGGTGTTTTTGCAGACGATCTTCCGCCAGCACGACCTGGATAAGTCAGGCACCATGAGCTCCTATGAGATGCGCATGGCTCTAGAGTCAGCTGGTAGGTCTGGAGAAGGATGGGGCTGGGCTAGGGGCTGGGGAGGGGGCTTCTACTGTCGGACCCCTGTCCCAAGTAGCTGGAGAAGAGTGAAAACAGCCTATATTGCGTGCTTGGAGCCACCTTGTCGTGGTAGTGAGATGTGGCCCATGTCTGCACTGGGCTCTCTCCATCCCAGCTGTGCCAAGCGCTGAAACCTCAGACTTAAGGATGCATGCAAGGTGGTCCCAGCCTCTGCCTTCCTCTGACCTGGGGTGGATCATTGAGCTAACTAGTCATATGGCTCCAGGGAGAGCATCCCCTCTTCTTGCTGAGGCTGGACACAGGGCCCTTCCTTGGGTGGGTCGGTGGCTCCTTCAGCTGGGGGCATGAGTATCATAGTTACATCCTCCTCTCCTGCCTTCCTGGGGTGCTGACTGCTCTCTGCCTGACAGGTTTCAAGCTGAACAACAAGCTGCATCAGGTGGTGGTGGCCCGCTACGCAGACGCTGACATGGGTGTGGACTTCGACAACTTTGTCTGCTGCCTTGTGAAGCTGGAGGCCATGTTCAGTGAGTGGTGGCTCTGAGGCAGGGAGGGCAGAGGCAGCGGGACGCGTTGCTCACCTTGCTCTTTTGCCCCGGCAGGGTTCTTCCACAGCATGGACCCCGAAGGCACTGGCACCGCTGTCATGAACCTCTCTGAGGTGAGAGCTCAGCCCAGTGGGAGGTGGGGTGGGAGACAAGGGGACAAGGCATTAGGGTGAATGGGGCACCTGGGGTGGGTGGTAGAAAGCCCTCCAGCCCCTTGGGTAGGAAAAGAACCCATAAAAGATCAAGATGAGAAAACGGGATTGCTGCAGGCTCCATGCTTCTTGGAGGGCTGTCAAAGTTGACATATGAGGGCATGTCAAAAATGCACCAGCCCCTGCTCATGTCTTCTCCCTTTCCTTCCCAGTGGCTGCTGCCGGCAACGTTCGGCTTAGGG